GACACCTGGGCATGCAACCAAACTCAGATGCTTTGTAACACATACAATGGCCACTCTAGGTAATTATTAGCGCGCACATGCTCCCAGCCAGTGTTGCATTACATGGCCCACCACATACCATCCATCTGGATCTCATTGGGCTGCACAGAGCGGGAAGACTTGGAAGAAGAGACTCGGAAGTTTGCAGGGAGTGTCTCTGATGACCCAGTTGCCACACCGTGAATGGCCTTTTCTCTAACCTTCTCTCTCCATGAAGGTGCTCTCCTAAAGTGTTTGTCATCCTCCTGGCAAATGAAAACACAGAACAGGCACACTCTAATAAAGATAACTGTCCTTCAGAAGGACTCCTAAGCCCCTGACTGTTTTGCTTTACTTAGCCTTTCCTGGTGACCTTCCAATGTGCTGCACACACTGGAACTTCAGTGTGAGAGGAAACATGATTACATTCCTGCTGGGCCCCAACTGGAGAAACGAGGGCAGTCCTGGGCACCAGGGATGTGATTTTCTCACCCATCAGAATATTTTATTTCTTACTGTGGACAAGCTCTTGCCTGCTATATAATGTACTTTTATTTATTTTCAAAATATCCTGGCTACAAATAATCCAACAAATGCTTTGCTTCCAGATTCAGCTTCCATCTTCTTTGTGAAAATCAAGTACTCTTGGAGCTCACTGAAGACAATCGTAATGTATGGCAACAGGTTAGTTATGATTTAGCATGAGGGGAAATTTAATATACTTTTGAAAGAAGCCTTCCAAACAGAAGAACTGGGGCAGGACAGTCAGCTGTCACCAAAACACAACTTAAGACTTTGATCGCAGGCTGCAATCTGTTTGACAATATAGAAATAATTTTTGAAGGTTGCCAAAAATTAAGTAGTGGACCAAGAGCAAGGATCAGTAGTAGAGCACTCAACTGGCATATGTGAAGCCCTGAGGTTGATTCCTAGCAGTGAGAGGAGAAAAAAGCTGAAAACTTACGACATCAAAACGTCTGACAGTCCCAAGGACCAAAAGGTCGGCAAATTCTTTGTCCAAGACATTTCGAGCCTGAAGTAACAAAACAACAACTAAATATATCTGAAGGATGTTACACATTACAATTTTTTAAAACAAAGACTTCAAAGACTCACATGCTTGCAACACAAACTGGAAAGAAAAGATAGTGAAAAATCAAGCACTTGCTTATTTTGAACTACCATATTATAGATTAGTTATGGAAAGTGATTACTAGTTGTCTAGAGTTAAATTTTCTCTCCATTCAAATGAAAAATAAGTATTCTAGAACCACAGAAAAACCGAACACTGTGGCTAAGCAGACAGAGGCACAGACTCCGTTGTCACCTTTCTGTTCTCTGTCGGGATCTGTAACAACAGGGCCAATGTGTTGTAATCGAAGGCTTCATCTAAGGCCAGCTGTGCGCCATGAACCCCACTCTCTATGAGGTTGTTTGCATATTCTTTAAGGCCAATGGATATGACCCAGCGAATCACTCGATCATTGCTCCAAACAAGCACATCTGTGAAAGAACAAAACAACTGTAAATGTGGCTTCAGAAAACCTCTTCATCATACATGTCCTGCAATGCAGGGGAAAGATTCCTAGCATGGATCTTGATCCCTCAGCTCCTGAAAATGGACTCCACACTCACAAATACTGACAGACACACACCTAGACACAGCTGTTTTGGTTCTGCCTCATTCTAATAAAAACTTTCCCTTTAGAAGCCTCCCCTAGTGCACTCAGGTGTCACAGTAAGATTGTGGATAGGATATATTCAGGGAACAATACAGCATGATTGGCTGAGGATGTAGCTTGGTGGCAGATCACTTGCCTAGTATGTACAAGGCCTGGGGTTCAATCCTAAGACTGCAAAAACATCAGGCTGAGGGTCAGAGTCAGACCTGGCACGTATAAGCATGTTTCCTACACAGACCCCAGAGTCTCCTGAAATGCTTCTCCATCATGAAAGGGGCAGATACCATGACAGTTCAGATACCTTGCTGAGTTCAACACAAACTCTTTGCTTCTGACCTTCTGACCTTCGTTTTCTTTTACTTTTTCTTGTTGTTGTACTGGGAATCAAACTCAGAGCCTTGTGCTTACCAGGTAGGTGCTAAGCCACTGAGCCATACCCCAGCCCCTGTGCTTCTGAAGCTTTGGTCATATCAACATCTTAATATATTACAAAGAAAGAATTTTAAAGACATTCCAGCATACTAGATTTTGGCAATCGTATGTCATACAAAGATAATTATTAAATGTATTCTATTACAGACCAAAAAATTGCCACTCTGTAAAAATATATCTGACCACCAATCTTTTCAAAGACTGCTTTTGCCAACTGACAAAATATGGAGAGGGGATATAGAAAACAAATTAAATGGATTAATACATTTCATGTCTGATTTTTTTTTCTCAACTTTGTTTTGGTACCAGGGATCAAACTCATGACCTTGCACTTGCCAGACAGCCGCTCTGTTGTTGAGCTATATCCCCGGCCATGACTTTCTTTTCTAAATAGACCTCAACGTATTCTTTGTTTTAAAAGAATTAAAACCCAGGCCTTGCACAGACTAGGCAAGTGTCCTACCACAGGGCTACATCCCTGGCCAATAGATAATCCTTTATTTTATTTAGAAAAAGACATCAGAATGAGGATGAAAATAACAGAACCACGATGCAGCCTGAATGAATCAACTATGGAAGACTTGACACAGTGCTTGATCATTATTCAGTAAGTCTCATTTCTTCTCATCACTGCAGTGCTATTAGTAACTACCGAGAATTCTGAGAGACTCTCGTGAGCATGACATTCAGTGTTGTCTTCAGAGAAGATGCCTGTCCCTGTCATACTGAGGGGGCTGCCATGCCCTCTCCTTCCTCCTGGCCTGTTTCTGACATGTCTTTCCTTTGCCCACAGGACACTCTGTGGTTTCTGTAAGGACTGCAATCCCAGTTAGTATGGGTGCTGTGGCAGGAGGGTCACAGGTGTAATCCCAGACCAGGGTACTTAGTGAAATTCTGTCTCAAAATAAATAAATAAATTACAAAATTATGGGTGCTAGGCTATTGGTTGCCTTGACCTCTCCCTCCCTCTGGGAGCAGAACTGTGTGCCCTGCATGCTGCCACAGGCCTTAGAAAAAGCTCCCAAAGCTGTAGTTTTAACCTCTATCCAGTAAGCAAAAGGCAGTGGCTTGTTTGCCTTGCTCTGATCTAATAGCATAAGGCAGCATCTCTGAGAGAGCGTATACAGTGTACAACAACAAAAGGAAAACTACATGAAAGAATGCCAGCACCAAGAGGGTAGCCTACAGACTGAGATAAGCACACACTGTCTCAGGGCACCCCTTTTCATCCCTCCTCTTGTTATCATGCCAAGCCAGTTGTTTCCACTTAAAAGTCTTCCCTGATTTATTTTTTTGTGGTACTAGAGACAGAAGCCAGAGCCCTGAGCATGCTAGGCAAGTCTTTTTTCACTGAACTACATTCTTAGCACCCCTAATTTTCAAATCTAGTTTTAGTGTTCTGAGACAGGGTCTCACTAAATTGCCAGGTCGGCCCTGAATTTGTGATCTTCCTGCCTTAGTATTCTTAGTAGCTGGAACTGTAATTTGTGTAATTCCCAGATAAATGTATGATTATTTTGTGCTTTTTTTTTTTTTCAGTCCTAGCGATCAAACCCAGGGCAATGCAAGTGGTAAGCAAGTGCCTTATCACTAAGCCCTTGATTTCTTTTTGAGGTACTCAGGAATAAACACAGGGATTTGCACTGAGCTGCATCTCTAGCCCTGTTATACTTTTCATTTTGAGAGAAGGTTTCACGGAGTCCAAGCTGCCTGGGCTAGGCTTGTGACTCTGCTGCTATGTCCTCCCAGAGTGCTAGGATTGCAGGTATGTGCCAGCTCAGCTGGCTGCTATACTTTTTCAAACAGGCAATCACCCAGGCTGCCTGGGAGGCAGCAGGCATGTGCTGCATCCATCCGGCATAATGTACTTGCCTTTAACTACATCCTGACTTTCTTCTCTTCTTCTTTCCAGTTCTTTCCGATCATAATTTAACCTTTTCAGGCACATAAGTCCACACTGGAAGCTGTTCCTATTTACAAAATAAGGGGTTATTTAACGGTGGCAATGTGAAGTCTCTTGATCCGTTAGGAAGAACCACTTGCACTGCCTCACCTGTGAAAACTGTCAACCATTTTCAGCCGCCCCCGCAGGTCTTTCTTGGTCAGGTGGTTCAGCATCCGAGCATCCACAAGGCACTCCATGAAATAGCTTCGGTACTGAGGTAGGCCCAGGCTGGGCAGCCACTCATTGCCAATCCACTCGTGGTCCATGTCCCCATATGCAAGTGTCTGATTTCAACAAATGAGTGACATCAGTTCAGATTTTTAATCTAGACAACATTCTTAAAGGCTAAATGAATGACAACATTGCTTTTCATAATTTCTAAATATTTGGTCTCCCATTCCTACCTTTTCAAATTCCTAAAGTTTTATCCAACAGAAATCATATTGGCAAAATTTTATGACTCATTTAGGACAATTTACCAAGCTATAGAAAAATCATACCTGTCTATAAATTCCTTTTCTGAATTAGTTTTCAATATAATAATATAGGAATAAAGAATGATCATGACTCATGAACAAGTTTGAAGAATCAATTCAAATCATTCAAATGAGCTCTAGCTGGTTTTGATTTTATTTTTAATACTTTGTCTTCCTAAATGACAAATGTATTTGAAAATCAGGAAAAGTAAATTTAAAATGATAAACGAACAACTAATGAGACTAAGAACAAAAACAGAAAAATACAATTAAATTTAGAAGACTTCAACACTCCTCTCTTAACAACTGGTTCAATGTGCCAATCAAAAAACCAAAAAGGACTAAGAAAAGGAAAACAATCAGGAAGGCTACGGACAAAAACAATACTGTCAATCAATCTGACCCAGATATAACTTACACTTTTTCCTTTCTTTTTTTTTTGGGGGGGGGTACTGGGAATTGAACTCAGGACCTCATGCTTGCAAGGCAGGTGCTGCACCACTGAGCTAAATCCCCAGCCCCTCCCCACAACCTTTAAAGACAGAGATTCCCATTATATTACCAGGATTGAGTGCAGTGGCTATGCACAAGCACTCCCTATGCAAAGAGATATTGATGCCACTCTTAGTATGATGTCCATCTTAGTTTAATGCCCAATTGTCATAGGACATTATAACAGCCAACTTCTGGGCTCAGTCTCTTGAGTTTTGGCAACTACAGGGGTGCATCATCACATCTGGCTTCAGGACGTACTTTTTTGTGGTGTGGTATGGTGGTGCATGCCTGTAAACCCAGCACTCAGGAGGCTGAGACAAAAGTATTTCGAGTTTGGGACTAGTCTGCACTACACCAAAAATAAGGAATCATGGTAAGTAGGTTTACTGACTCAGGAATAGGTTGGTTCACCAACTGAGGAGGAAAAAAAAAATCAATGAAATTTGCCCAATTACGAGATCAGCAAAGAAAGCCATGTCTCATAATACCTTATGTGGCACAAGATCCATCATTCAGTTATGAAACTCAGCATTCTAGGACGAAAGACCCACCGCCTCAATCTATTAAGGGTCATCTACCAAAAGCCTGCAGCTAAAAACCTCACAATGAGGGACCAAATGTCTCCCTGAACGGAAAGAAGCACAAGGGGTGTCCACTGTCACCGTTTATGTTTGGCTGTGCTGGAGACCTGGCCACTGTAATGGCAGGAAAAACATAAAAATGGCATGAGTTGAGAAAGACATAAACCTCTCTTTATTAGTAAATGACACGATTATCATTGTTGAAAAAGTCTATGAAATAGCTATTAGGATTTATACATGAATTTAGCAAAGCTGCTGAATATACAATGAATACACAAAAATTAACATTTCTAAATATACAAAATGAACTGGAAATTGAGATTTTAGAAGTATCTTATATAATGGCACTAAACTGCATAAAATCCTTAGCAACCAATTCAACAGAATATGTCCAAGGTCTGTACAATGAAAAATAGACATGATATACAACCACTTCACAGAGAATGGTTCGTTATGCTCTCCAGCTAAGGAAGATTAAATTACATTCACAGGAATCCTAAGGTACATTGAGGAATCCTTTAAAATAAAAACTATCCATTCCCATCCATCCTCTCCTGGCTTGAACTCAGGGTTTCATACCTGCTAGGCAAGCACTCTAACCTGAGCTACATCCCCAACCCCTTACAACAGGGTCTCACTAGGCCCAGGCTGGTCTCTAAGTTGATATCTTCCAGCCTCAGCCTCCTGAGTTATGGGATTACAGTCATAAACCACCATGCATGGCCTCCATGTTTGGTTTAGAACAATGGATTCCACTCTAGTATTTTATTTGTTCCAGTCAAGATACAAGGGATGGCTCAGCTAAGAGGAATGTTCCAATTCTAACAGAAAAGATTTCATAACTTTCTTTAAATGATGAGTGACAAATATACCACTATGGTAACCATTAAGATACCTAACAATGTTACCATGATGCAGTCCTTTGAGTCATACTTTCATGGGCCTGGGATTCACAGCCTGAATATTTGATGTTTTCTGGCCTGCTGACTATGCTCTCTTCTAATGAGTAGAAGAAATCTTCCAAATAAAAAGCTGTGCGGAAGCAAACCCTCCATATCTCTGTTTACTACTTTTGCAGTTGCTGATAATGCAGATTCTGACAGCTCAGACTCAGTTTGAGGGAGAGCCTCCTCCTCTCCCTGGCTGCCACCACAGCCTTCTGAAGAAGTGTGCAAAGGGACCTCATGCTCCAAGCATGGACAAGTCACGCTCAGTCTCAAGGTCAGTAAAATGCGAGCTCCATGAGAGTGGGACTGCAGCTGTCCTGCTCATTAATGGCTCCTGGCAGCTGGCACAGCCTTCTTACACAGCCAGTCATAACTTACATCTGATATGCGAACAGTTCTGACCACACTTGAGTGTTCCTTCCAAAGCTCAGTCAGGAGCGAGGCCACCCAGTGCCAGCACGGGCAAAGCACAATGCTTTGTGCTAGCATAGCTCTGTCCTAGCAGCTCTGTCTGGGAAAGGATGGTGGCAAAGTGCACCAAGCTTCTGCAGAACATTGCATGTGGGGTAAATCTGGAATCTTCTGCATGGGCCCCTTTTATATGGTCACTGCAAAAAGCAAATGTTAAGCTTATTCAACTACACTTTATGTCTCTGATGCTATTTCATATTGAAGTGGTGACCATATTCTACTTTGTCTTTTGGAATATATTGAAACTTACGTAATTATGAAATGCACTGCTTAATTCACTGATGGTCATTGTTGGTCCTGTAGAGAGACCTCTAACTAGGTGAATTTAAGCGATTCTAGAGGCAGGGAGTATCTAAACCCAGGGAGGGAAACCCAGTTAGTAGCTATTCTCTTTCTTCTTAGTTTTTGTTTCTAAACTTTTTGTAATTTTGAGACAGGATTTTACTATGTAGTTTAGGCTGACCTTGAACTCACTATGTAGCCTATGCTGGTCTCAAATTTGCAACAAACATGCTTGATCAACCTCCCAAGTCCTGGGATGACCCATATGTGTCACCAAGTTCCACCTCTCTTTTTTTCAAATGAACAAACAAAACAAACAACCAAGTGCTATAACTGAATAACCTTTAGAAATGCAAACAGAAGCAACTGTTTCAAGCATCATCTTGGAATCAGCAAATTCTAATCTTAACTCATTTATACTTGCTTTCAGACATATGCTAACTCTTCTGAGCCCCCGAATACCGTGCCCCTGGGAAAAGCTGAAGAACTACAAGTCCCCTGGTACTGCACTGTGCCCACCAAAGACCCAAGAGGGCAGAGGGATGCTGGGAATTTAACCAAGTCATCTGACTCAGACACTGTAAAACATGGGGCAGAGCTTTCTGTGTAGTGAAGAGTTAGGCAGCTGAAATTCAATCTCTGTGAAGTGATAAGCCTTAATTTCTGAGAACCCCATTACTAAGATCTTTAACTCAACACAGTAGGGCAGTACTTAGTCAAATAACAATATAAAGACATAGAGGGAAAGGCCCCGTGCCAACTTTCAGGTTTAGAAGTGTATTTCATGATTTTTTTCAGCAGTACATTTTAGAACAAAACTAACCCAGCAACGAACTACATGTACATAAACTCAGGAGTTGCCTAAACCAGGGGACTTTGTATAAAAGATTCTATTCATAAATAAAACAACCTTCGTTCAAAGTAATTTCCATGATCCCATATGGGAAATGTTCAAAATTATCCATGAGATGTAATCTTTAATCCTGTGATTTACTTGATTACATTCTTCAAGTCATTAATGATACTATGAATAAATTAAGGTGTGAAAAACACCTACTAAAGCAGGTCACACAAGTTTACATCCTCAATTGCTTTTTGTTGCTACAGAGTGAAGAAATATTATAGAAAGACTCCAACCTTATCCAGCTTCCCTCCTCATCTTCCTGATGTTAGGTTGTTAGGAATGTAAAAGAACATAACTATTAGTATTAGTGAACTTTAGTAGTGTAAGCAAATTAATTCTGCAGGGAACATGCACCTTGACTGAGTGAAAAACATTCAAAGTATCAATGCCTCATGCAAAAAGTCATGAAAATCCAAGAATTTCAATTTTCCATGCAAGGAGCAGACTTTTTCCATGCCAACTAACCTCATACAGTAGACTGTTGGCGTTAGACAACCACAACGCAGTGCTCAATGGAGGTCTCTCCAAAAGGAGAAGCAAATTACATCTTCTCTAAATGGGGCAAATCTATAAACTAAATTCTTGTAAAAATCTAAAAAATGCAAATACGACTATACGCTATGAGCTAATAACCTAAAAAGAACACATTATATTTGAAACAAATGCAAATTAACTTTTGTTTTCAACAAAAGACAAAGGGCCCTTTGGTCTGGAGTAGGAAACCCACTTTGGAACATGAGCTGCAGGGCTGACTGACCATCTGAGATGTGGCTGCGAGTGTTTCCATCTCTTCATGTGTTAACCAGACATTTCCTGTGGTCTAAGGTGACCCCAGTGCACCAGCCACATCCAGGGCAAGGGAAGCGTGACAGAAAGGAGAAGGACGCACATATGAGCCACAGGCACAGTAAGGAGCCACGAGGCAAAGGTCACTCTTTGCACATTTTCATTTCAGGCACCCACAGAGAAAGCCAGAGATCATTAACACAGGCTCATCCTCTTTTAAACAATAACAGTGTGGTCGGAATATAAGGAGAACAGCACACAATTTCCAGATCACATGCTTAAAAGTATGGATGAGAACATACTTTACATTTCTGAAAAGTTACTTTCCCCAGTAACTGATGATTCAATAGACAGTATTTTCAATAGTCTCACCATGTTGGAGGTATAGCTCATGATAGGGCTTTTGCCTGCCTCTCCCAAAGCACTAGGTTTAAGCCTCAGTACAGCAAAACAAAAGAATAAAACAAAACACACAGAAAGCAGTCTCACCCCAACACAGGCTAACAACAGGATGCTCTGGCCTTGGCTTCCTGTGGCTGCTTTCAGCAGATGATCCAAAGCCAGAGGAAGCCCAGGAGGCCAGGGCACAAGATAGTGAGCACAGGAGAGCCAAACAATGCAAACACCAAAAACAAAGCACTTGTCACCATCTGAGTCAAACCTGAGACTGATGGCCACTCTGCTAGCCCACTGTAAGCTCCCCAAGAACAGCAATTTCTGTGTTTGTAACTGGTGATATGGAGAGTCTTTCTGATGTGAGGTCTAGTCCTTGCCAATAGTTCAACTGAATCACAGAAGCTCCCTTTTGAAAGAGGGTTCTTAAAAGCTTTGAAAAAGCCATGCAGCATCTTCATTTCTACAAAGCCCACATTAATGTGGAAATAGCTGCAGAACAGACTGATACTGGTTACAAAACATTCCACCAAGGGAAAGTGTTCTTTGGCCATACGTTAAAAAAAAAAAAAAAAAAAGGCTTATTGTTCATTTTCATAATTCTCTAACAACAAAATCTTCACACTTTTTTGTGTATAAAGTTACTGTAGGCAGACCTTGCTCTGCTGCTCAGAAGGATGTCTACACAGCTCTAAGAGTTTGTTGAACATCTAAATGAAAAACCCCTGAACTTTGCAACTTAAGAGCTGGCCTGCTCTTCCCTTCTAATAACCACCAATGTTTCATCAGAAGAGTCACCAGGAAGCTCTTTGAGGGCTCTTCACTACTCCCCAAGTGGACAGCATCTTTGTGAGCACAGGCATGGTTGGACAGACACATGCAGCTCCCAAGACCCAGAGCACCTGCTGGTGCCGTGACACACAACCACAGTGCATCTAGGAAACTCAGCATTTTTCCTCCTTTAGTTCTTGTAGGGAAAAAAAGACATCCACAAAGAAGAGAAGCTTAGAACTGTCCAGGAACCAGTGGATTTCTGGGAGGTGACCACCCCTTGTTAGCGTGTCAACTGTATGTCAGTGGCACCTCTGGACTGCCACAAATTACAGTTACTCTGTAAGTCCCGCCTATATGTGCAGTGATGCAGATGCACTCACACGCACAAGACTGAAGGAAAGAAGCCACACACAACAAAGTAAGGGCAGCCCAACCTAGTTTATAGCCAAGGGGCCGAGGCCAGGTGCTTATTTATGCCCGGGGATTGTATGCAAGGGTTTATACATTCCTGGGCTTATCTGTATATTTTGCTACCTGTATACTTGAAGAAAAACAATATTTTCCGCATATAATTTGCTTAGCAAGTACCTTTATATACCGTACAAGTACTAATTATTGCTTGAACTATGAAATAGAAATCAAAGTTCAAGGATGAAATGCTACTTAAAATGTTAACTTTTCCTTCCTCAAGAGGTCCTTACACTTACTCAGTTTTGATAAATTCATACGTACATTTGTGACACTCAATTTTCTACCTTTCAAAAAGCCTTCTTTCTTAAAGAAGGCCTTTCTAACCAAGTTTTATTCATTTATTTAATTATTTATTTTTTGGTCTTTTCTGAAACGGGATCTCATTACTCAGTTCAAGCTGCTCACACTGTAACCCACTGGCCTAGAACTCACAGTGATCCTCCCACCTCAGCCTTCTGAGTGCTGGAACTACAGGCATGTGCCACCACGCCTGGCTTTAACCACACTTTTACACAAGCAGTTCACACATTTTCTTTGGATCACTCAACCCCTCCAAGTTAGGGGTTGTACTATGCTTTCCTGAAATTTTAAGTTGAAACCACCCTGTATGATTAGGAAGCAGCACGGAAACATTAGCAGGCTACTGCTTTTGTGGGCTCTGCCTTCCTCCTCCACAGAGGGCACACAGAGCCTCTGTGAACATACCTTTTTCAATGTGGGTGGAGCCGAAGGGCTGGTGAGCCACAGGGTTTCCTGGATGGCCAGCCGCAGCTTCAGTCTGTGCAGAGGGTGGCTGATGCCAATCTCTTGCTGGATCTGTCTGTCTGACAGAGCTGACATGATGGCCCCACTTTTCACATTTGCTCTGCAGGCAGCCACATAGCAAGCAGGCATCCCAACCCAGAGCTAGAAAGAAGAATGAAAAGACCAGAACATCAGGTAGAGACAGGAGATGCACGACAAGCTTGTGTCATGTAGCATAGGTCTCTGTAGTAAAGGGATGTACCTCCAGCCATTCAACCACGGTTGGCCCGTCCCACTGTGAAAATGGTAAGCCTTGCCTCTGGGCTTCCTCCAGCAACTCAGGCCTGTGAAAAAGAAGACATTCAAATTAAAGAAGCACTGTTACACATCCAACAAGTTAATGGAACAGTCTCTGAGCATTTTCAAAAGTATAACACATATTCTCAGTTACTTTTATCTTCTACAGTTTTAATGTTATTAACATCATCCTTGTAATGACAGTCACACACATACTATGGAGAATGCCTGAGTAAATAAAAAATGCTACAGAGTTCTCTTGATTCCCAGTCAAATCACCATTACTTCAGAGAATTGAAGAATTACTACCAACTTATAAAACTCAAGCAGAATTTTCATATCCAAGGTAGTAAGACAATTAGGGGAAAACATGAAACCCTACTTCAACAATGAAGAAACAGTATCTAGGAAGAGGAAACCACACCTCAGTTGAGACATCAGTGCCTAATTTTGTGAGAGACTTTAAAAAACAGTGTTTTTGGGGGGTGGTTGTGGTTTGGGGAATGTTGAGACAAAGTCTTGCTATGTATGTAGTCCAGGTTGGCCTCAAACTCTGTGTAACCAGTCTCCCCCAGTGCTTGGATTATAGATGTGTTTCATACTCCCAGCTGTAATGCAGACTTTTAACCACAAAAAGATTATCGTCTAATACAGCAAACAAGTAACAGAGGACAGTTTCTATTGTACACTGCTCTTTAAGTAAATGGGTACTTGCTAAGTCACTGGGTCATTCTGTGGTTTTAACCCATTGATCTCTTCTTTAGCCAGCCATTCAACACCTCCTTCAATGCCGAATGTATCACCAGCACAGAAACTCATGCAATACCAAGGCAGTACTGCAGGGAAGTGGGTAGGTGAGTCTTGCATGCACTCCGTAATGTGATTTGAGGTTTCATATATGCTTTATTTCTAAAGACTCAAGTCACACTTTTACTATACTAACATCTCTAAAAGTGATTTGTGTAACACAGTTATGTGAAACAGTAACATTGTAAGCATGGTAAGTCTGACATTAGAACACAAAGGACAAGTATGTTTCAGATACACAAAAACCCTAGTCAGTCTCAGTCAATCAGTCTCTCTTCCCCTTTTCTTTCTTTTGGAAACTTATGTTCCTAAGTAAAATGTTTCATATACAATTTCAACTAAGAGTTCCTTAAGTTACCACTAAGCTTACAGGAACAATCACCAGGGAGTAACTGTACCAGAGAAGGCAGCAAATGTGTTATCTCAGATGAAACAAGAAAAAAACAAGAAGAAGAAGAAGAAGAAGAACAACAACAACAATTTTCTAGTTGAAACAAGCAAAGCTATTCACAGAGAAACAGATCAGCAGAAGAGTGCTCCTAAGTACAAGAAGTAGTAGGCTACTGTCATGGTTTATGTCTGTGGCCCCCAGGCCTCATGCATTTTCATTGTGCATTTGTGATGGTTCATTGTCTAGTGCTTGGATTCATGGTGTCAGTGTTACACCCACATAAGAGTGGAGCCAGGATATGATGTAATGGTAGGAAGAAAGTGTATCTTGCTCTTTGCCTGTTCCTACTTGCTGTTTG